AATAGGCATTTGCGATAAAAAGAAAAAGCTCAGTGCGGATTTTAAAAAAAGGTGATTTTGCCATAGGTCGGAAGTTAAAAAAAGGGTAAGATTTTGCCATATTCAGATTTTGCCAAATTTAAAAACTTAATTTACCATATTAATTCGATGTTGCTTAAAAAATTTAAATGATTTGATGAAAAAACGCATAAGTTCTTATCAAAATATGATAAGATAAACATAACTGGATTTTCCTCTAAACTTCATTTTGTTTTTGTTTTTTTTTCTTTGAGATTCTTTTTTCGAGTTTGAAAATTTTTTCATGTAGAAATAAAAAGAGCGGAAGGGAGTATATTTTTTTTTTGTCGAATTATTTCTTGAAACGAGACGAGTTGGTGATAATTTGCGACGAGATATCACAAGAGTGATATTTTGTTTGTGGTTTTTCATTTGTTTAGATCCTTCGAAAGCCTTTTTTAACACCACGTATTTCGTAAAGGTCATTGAAATTGAATATATATATAAATTGTGTGTTTGTGCTAAATAAAAAAATCGATGTTTTAGGGAATGCGAAAAAATAAAACATGAAAAAAAAGGGGTAAAAAAATAATATATATTTTTTTTTTGTAGTAATATTAAAAATTTACAACTCAGTCTGGTATTCTACCAGAATTTTTCTCTCGAATTTTAGAGAAAAAATCTGTAAAATTTTTTACCAGCCTGCGGGATTATTCTAAGGGTACAGTCTATGCGAAAGAAACAAAAAAAAAACTTGATAACATATATAGATATATGTGAATAATGTAGATATATAAAAATGAATAATATAAAAAAGTGTCCATGAAATAATGTCCTTTGCCAGAATCTTTTTTTTAAACTTTTTATATTGTTTTTTGGCGCGGACGTATCATTCCCTATGCACAATAGAGATATGCAATTGTTATATTTTGTACACAATTGTTGATGTTATTAATGTTGAAGTTTTAAAGTTGATGATGATGTTCACTCATAATAGACACCAGAGTCTGAATCATCAGCCCTATGAATCATAACAGGTTCGTCATCTAATGGAGTTGGTGGAGGACGAGATACCAACTTATAAGTAGGTTGACCTTCATTAGTGACTCCAGTTCGTTCAGCCAAAAGTACAATATCATTACATTCAATAGTATAAAGATTTCGTACTGAATGACGTTTTGAAGAAGGAGCAGGAGCAGAAGTAACAGTCAAAGTTTTACGAAGAGATGGTTGTTTCTTAAGAGATAAAGAATTTTGACAAGCAGGACTCTCTTTAAGAAGTTGACGATTATTTACAGCCAAACGATAATGACCAAGACCATCAATTCTAGTTTCAAGTTCTCTAAGACGTTGCATGTTATCGTGTTCACGTTTTTGTTCTTCAACATCACAAAGTACATTATCTAATTTTGTTTTAAGAGAAACAGTATTTTCATAATCAAAACCTTCTTTATCAGTACATTTAAGTAAATTTGTTATAAGAAGAGGATATTTGAGAAGACGTTGGAATGGTTTAAGAAGGTAAGTAGATAATGGCATATTTCTACAAGAAGGTGATTTTTGTTGTTTCTTGACAGCACGACCTAATTTATCCTTCTTTCTAATTGATTCATCAAGTTCTCTTAAAGCATCTTCATAATCAAGCTGATCTATTAGCAAAACAAGGTACTACTAAACCAATAATCGAATTCTCATCTCTTCTCTTTAACTA